TCAACATTGGGGAAGCAAGGACTCGTCACCGGTCAACAGCGGTAACAATAGGCAGAGAAATAGCACTGCTGGACTCACCATGGAAGGGAAGCTGGCTTGCCATGACAATAATTTAGGGCACTGTGTCTTCTTGGTGGCACAGGGGAACTTGTGTTGCCCCAGAGCAAAAGTCCTTTGGTGCTTTGACACTTTCAGCTCTGTCAGATCTCTGTATAGCAAGAAGCAGAGACGTGGATTCATCTTTTGGGAAGGCCTTTCCTTTGGTATGAGAAAAAAAGCCTGTGAGTATTTGCCACTGTCAGTAAAATAGTCTGTATTTCTTAACAAGTTTAATGTAATTCAAATCAGCCTGTGTGGTTCATTTCAGCTCCTTCATTGCCAAACCTGGGAGCCGACTGCTTCAGTTCCTCTGCCTTCTCTTTGTGATGATCAAGGTAAAAGATATTGGCTGCATCAAACTTTTTTTTTAATATTTACTTTTTTTTTAGGTGTAGATGGACATGACATAATGTCTTTATTTTTTTTAATATTTATTTTTTAGTTGCAGTTGGATACAATATATTTATTTTTATGTGGTGCTGAGGATCGAACCTGGGGCCTCGCATGTGCTAGGAGAGCACTCTACCACTGAGCCACAATCCCAGCCCCTGCTTCAAACTTTTTGACATTATTTTTCTTTCACTTAATAGTTGGGAGGGGTTTCCAGGGATTGAACCTGAGAGGGTTCACTTGGTGCTTTGACTGTCTCTCTTGTGGCTTTGAAATTTACCTATTATAGCCTAGGGGCACTTAAGCATCAACCACTGAGCCATATCCCCAGCCCTGTTTTGTATTTTATTTAGAGATAGGGTCTCACTGAGTTGTTTTAGTGCCTTGCTATGCTGAGGCTGGCTTTGTACTCTTAATCCTCCTGCCTCAGCCTCCTGAGCTGCTAGGATTATTGGCATTCGCCACTGCGCCTGGATCCCAGCCCTGTTTTTCAATATTTTTTGAGACAGAGTCTCACCAAGTTACTTAGGCTGTCCTTAAACTTGCCATCTTCCTGCCTCAGTCTCCCAAGTCAGTGGGATTATAGGTGTGTGACACCACACCTGGCTATCTTTTTCTTAGTAGATCTGGTATCCTTTTACCCAGCTGTGAGCACAAAATCCTTGATTTTCTTCACTTTTTGAAGCATGATGACAAGGCACGCAAAGGGTGAGAATCAGCACAGTAAATGTTTAGAACCAAAGAGCAGCAACAGATGCTTTTGAAGTGCCTATTCACTCCAACCCTGTGGGTGGATCACTTTACTTCACCTTCGTCGGAGGTCAGTTTTTTTATCACTATAACAAAATACTTGAGGCTGAATGACTTTTAAAAGAAAAATGACTTGTCTCGTTTATTGATACTGGGGGTTGAACTCAGGAGCACTTTACTACTGGAGCTACATCCCCAGTTTCCCTTGTTTTTAAGAGACTGGCTCTCTAAGTTGCTGCAATTGGCCTTGAATTTGTGATCCTTCTGCCTCAGTCTCCCAAGTCACTAGGATTACAGGCACACACTACTGTTCCCAGCTGAAAGGGTTAATTTAGCTCACAGTTCTGGAGTTCAAGGGTATGGCATCAGCTCTGCCCAGCTCTGGCCTCACAGCAGATGGCATCATGGTGGCAGAAGTGCACCTGAGAGGGAAAGATCACATCGCCAGAGAGGAAGCCAACTGGCCATTCAGAGTTCAGTCTTAAACTTTTGTAACAACTCACTCAGGAAAGAACTCACCCCAGGAGACCAGCATTCCCTTCCAAGGCAGCCAGAATGATTTCCACACCTCCTGCTAGCTCCCTCTTCTTAAAGGTTCTATTCCCTCCCACATCACCACCCTGGGGACCAAGTTTCCCCCACAGGAACCCTTGGGGGATACACTACATCCATATCACAGCACCATCCTAAAGGGCTCTCCAGTTAATAAGAACTGGAGTGAATCTTCTCCTGACCCAAAGCTTTGGAAGAAAACTATGACATCAAAATTAACCTGAAAACAGTGCTTTTAGAGTTAGACTAAGCAGCCAAGTGAGCCAGTTGGTTTATTAATATTTATAGTTGAGTCATGTTGTAATTTTGTTTTAAATGCAATAGCTGAGAGTTTTCCTAGATTCCAAATGAATATTTATTAAAATGAAAGTACATTATAGTGGTTTAAAATTAGAAGATTTTTAAAATAGAATTGAGAACCAGAAATTAATGGGAATTCCCAAGAGCAGATGAAATTAATCAATTACAAGTTTCCCTTGATTCCATTTCATCCATATAAACAGTGATTTCTCTACCAAAAAAAAAAAAAAAAAAAACCAAAACGGTGATATAAATGACTTAGGGTCCATGATCTCTTTTTTTTTTCTTTGTGTTGTAGGGAGTACTGGGAATTGTGCTCAGGGGCACTCTATAATATACTATCTCCACAGCCCTTTTTATTTTATTTTGAGACAAGGTCTCACCAAGTTGTGAGGCTGGCACACATCCCTAAATTGCTGGGATTGAGGGTGCATCCTGATGCACCCAACTCTCACAGTAGATATTTATTTGCTGATTGATGTGAGATTTCATTTGCTACAAGAAAGTTTAGTTCAATTTCATCTAAAAAGTCCCTGAGAAAAGAATGTACTATTCAAGATGGATGACGTCTCAAAATACACATCCTGATTAGATAGAGAGGCACTAGCTACAGGCTTCCAAGTTTCCGTCTTTTACACCAGTGAAAGAGAGGAAATCCAGGCTCTTCAGTTTAGCTTCAGCATTATCAGTAAACTCCCTGGTGGCTTTCTGCAGTGGAAGTCGGGGTGGGCCCATTGGAATTCCAGAGACCAGAGTCATGATGGCTTTGGTCTGAGATACTCCAAAACCTAGACAAGAAAAATAAATGAGGAAACATATCTGGCACTGTCCACATCCACAAAAACATCCCAAAGAAGAGATCTTATGCCAACAATGACTTCTACAGTAGGATAAGATGCAAGTAAAAGGCACATTTCTTGTCAATACTGTCACCTTGACTGGGTAGACAAAGAAAGGACTTTTCCTGTTGCACACACACACAGGAATACTAGAAAATGTTAACAAACTATAAAACAAAGTAAGGCTCAAAGTCAACCTTTGCAAGCAAAGGAGGAGGATCCAAAGCTATCAGGAATACAATCATAAGGATAAGAAAGATCTGAAACCAAATAGCCCTTGAGGATAATCTGACTTAAGGTATATACTGGTGTGATTTTTTTTTTTGTGTGTGTGTGGTATAGCAGATTTAACTGAGATACCCAGCTCTTTTTATTTTTTATTTTGAGATAGGTTCTCACTAAGTTGTTGAGATTGTCCTCAAACTTGCAATCCTTCTGCCTCAACCTCTCAAGTAGCTCAGCTCAGTGGTATGTAGCTCAGTGGTAGGGTGCTTGCCAAGCATCTGTGTGGCCCTGGGTTCAATTCCCAGTAGCACAAAAACAAACAAAGCCAGGTGTACTTGAAAAAATGCCAAAAAGAAAATACTGGAAATAAAATGCATACTGTTTGTTCAGGGAAATTAAACAGTAGAAAACATAGCTAAGGAAAAAAATTGGTGATTTTTTAAGAAGGCAAGTCTAAGGAAATTCAGAATATAGCACAGAAAGACATGTTAAATATTTTTTTAAATTAAAGCACAGATTTGAGAAGATCCAAAATCCATCTAATACATTTTCAGAATGACAGTCTTCAGTGAATGCAGTCAAGACAATATCCACAGCTGATAATAGGGACTTTTTCAGAACTGAGGAAAGCCAAAGCCTTCAGGCTGAAGAAGCAGGTGAAGTGGGTGCCCTGTTAGTATGCAAAAACACAATAATCTTGTGTCATAATCCCTAATCCCTGTCTTCTAAAATATCTGTCACTTGTTTTCTTAGCTGCCTATTGTTATGGTTTCAAGCTATAAGAAGTAACTTCCTTTTATTAAGTGAACTTAGTTAAAATAACAACTGAGCATTGGGAAGGAAATTACTTAGCAGGATTAAACATATGGAATAAACTTTGGCAGATGCAAAATGGACTTCCAGACTTATTATGAGTAGGTAGAGCAAGGAGCTGTCTTCATGTTAAGACAAGTTTCTTTAATAAGTCTTCCTTTGACCAAGTCATGAAAACCTCAACTCCCATGAAGTCTGAAAAGATCGTTTTATTATTTTTATTTTATGTATGTATGTATGTATGTAAGTAAGTAAATAACAGGGATCAAACTCAGGGACACTCGACCACTGAGCCACATCCCCAGCCCTATTTTGTATTTTATTTAGAGACAGGGTCTCACCAAGTTGCTTAGCCCCTCACTTTTTTTTTTTTTTAAATATTTATTCATTTATTTTTTAGGCGGACATAACATCTTTGTTTGTATGTGGTGCTGAGGATCGAACCCGGGCCGCACGCATGCCAGGTGAGCACGCTACCGCTTGAGCCACATCCCCAGGCCCCAAGCCCCTCACTTTTGCTGAGGCTGACTTTGAAGTTGGGATCCTCCTACCTCATGGGCCACTGTGCTTGGGGAGCTTTTTAAAGATATGTTTTTTAGGTCATGAAAACTATTTTCAAGAGCTCCTCCACCTTTAAAATGCAAAGATTCAGACAAACAAGTAAATCCTTTCTGTTAATATCTTAGATTCACATTTTACAAAACTGTTGCAGTAACATAGCTGGTAAGTAAGATGATCTTATCTGGCATACAGGTCAACTTCTAGTTATTTTTTAACCTTTCAGTATCAATTTTAATGTACTTTATAGGAACATATAACTATTATGTCAATCCACAATTTTGTGAAAAGTATTGTCCAGGACAAGGGAATTATAATAGGTAATTAATAGCATGGGCAGCACTCAAATATGACAAAAGTCATGACAGTACAAATGCAAATGGAACATTGTCTTGGAAGGATTAAGAGAGCTAGTTGAGAACCTTTGGGAAGGAGGGGCTGGATACATAATAGGTGCCTGGGGAGAGGGAAGTTTCCAGGGTGAGGCAGAAAGGCTCTGCACTGGGAAGTGGGAGGTCTGCCAAGAAAACACCAGAAACTCTTCCTGGACTTGACCCAGGTTCATTTGGCCCAAGGGCCAGTCTCTTGCAGAGGATGAGTGAATGGTAGCATTTGTCATTTGTTGTGGGACATCATTTAAGACACTCTGGAAAGCTTCCTCTGCTCAGATTCACTGTATCCCCTATCCCCCCAATTTTATTTTGTCATATTATCCAAACCTTCATCCATTTAAGCTTACCTGTGTTTTGGGGTTTTCTTTTTCTTTTTTTTTTTGGTGCTGGGGATGGAACCCAGGGCTTTGTGCATTCAAGGCAAGCACCCTACCAATTGAGCTATATCCCCAGCCCAGGCTTATCTGTTTTAATAAACTCTTCTTAAATTTCAAATGCTCTTGGGAGAGCTGTCATTCACAATTTAGTAAAATCTGTATTCAGACGGCCTTCCCCAAGTA